ACCTAACTCCCATTGAAATCAATGGGAATTAGGTGCCTAAATATCTTTGAGGACTTGTGCCTCAGTGTTTTGGATCAGAGACTGTCATTTATTTTATGGTTTTGGTAGGAGTCACCAGATGGTCTTATCTTCCTTAGCCTGCAAGCACTGTTCAGACTTGGATGCATTGTAAGTTTTACGATTTGTTCTCTGTCTTAATCTCTTTAATTCAAGTCAATGGTTGGGACAGAGTCACATCCTGGGAACCAGGCACTGGTGTTTGGGCTGAAATTTCTGAAAGAGGTTTGCCCTCTTGCTGTTTGTGACTACCTCCATTCAAGGACTGGTGTATTAGTGTAAATAAAGCAAGCAAGCTACCCTGAGGAAATACCCCACATCACCCATTACTCTGCATCACTGATTTTTTTTCTGTAATGGAAACTGATGTACATGACCCAACATCTGTTATTCATTGGCAGATGGATGACAAAATATTTGCATGACACCTTACATAATGGGGCCCAGGATGGCTGAGACACTACTGCAATTTAAATATTTAAGTGAGGAAGATGCATGTTTGTTTGTAAATATGTGATTCCCTCCTAATTATATTCTGCTTGGCAAATGTGAGACTGAAAGGTGATCTCAGTATGCTTTTCAGGTACTTAAAATGGACTTAAGATCAGTTACACCATTTAAGCAAGTGGGGGACTGGGTCAAATAATTCACACACTGAAACTGCAGAAAGAAATACTTGGGTTTGTTATGAAGGTGATCATTTTATACCAGATTGCTATTGGAATGTGGAACAGTGGCTGAAGACAGTGTAAATAATGAAAATTTGACCAAAGGCAGTGATCATTAATTCAGGCACATGTAATAACTAGAAATATATAGTGAATAGCAAAATGAGGCAGGGCATGCTTGACACTGAGTACTGGTTCTCTCCAATCACAAATTCTGTGTGTTTTGCATTGACAGCATCATCCCTATGGGGCCAATCCACCTGTGGAGTAACTATAGAAATAAATGGAGTTGCACCAGAGATGGATTTGGCCTTACACATTTGAAATAAAAAGGTAAGCGTTTTAAACCTACCACAGCTTGGAAGACTCACATGGAAAACCAGGCATTATAAGTGAAAGTCCTTGCAAGAGGTGGGGAAGACGGGCTTTGAAGCTGAAGATTAAAGTCAGTATTTTCTCAATGCAGCAAATGAGAATGCAATTTGTAGAGGACCAACAGCTGAGGAGAGGGTGTGGGAACCAGAAATACATTCAACGGCTGGGAGGTTGTTGAAAGTTAAGATCAGGAGAACAGATAATTTGTAGGGCTGCAATTTCTCCTGCTCCTGCCTCCCCCCACCTCCTTCATATTCAATCCCTAATTGGCAGCCGACTTGAACAAAGGTAAGCAGCAATGACACCCAACACAGAAGGGGAATCGCTTCATTATTAATGTGTGCAAATGCCACCACCCTCCTAGTTTAAGTCTTGATCTGTTTTTGATAGGATGATAATTAAATTCAAACACAGCACAACAAACAGCCCCACTTTGTCTCTTGCAGGGCGGAGGGCGAGGGAAAGGGGAATCAACCGCTCAATTACTGTGTGCACAGCACTTTGAAAACGTAAATCACTCACTAGGTGCTAAGTATTTCTCGGCAGCCCCAAGCCTGGGCCAACGTTGTTTTGGTTGCAGATGGAGGGGAGCATGGACTCTGCCTCCCAAGTGGGAGGGGAGGAAAGGCTAGAGGGGGCCAGCAGCTGGGACTATCCTCTCGTGTTGGCTTGCTGAGGAAGGCTGGGGACTCTGTCATTGAAAAACGAGCAGTGGGGGAAGAATAGCTTCTTCTAGCCCCTCCCTGTAGAGGCCAGGGCAGGCCCCCCAGCCTGCCATAGTAGCTGCTGGGAGAGACACAAGGGTGGGTGAGGGAATATTTTTGATTGGACCAACTTCTGCTGGTGAGAGAGACCAGCTTGCCCCGCTCCTCTCCCCGGGCTGCTCTCACAGCCTTTGAACCCCGCACCACCCCTGCCGCTCTCTGAAGAGCTGCCGCCTCCCTCAGTGGGTCTCGCGTTTCCCTCCCGGCTGCTGCCATAGCGATGTGGAAACAGATCGCTCCGTCTCCCGGGGAGCCGCGCGGGGGAAGGACGCCTCGGAGCTGCTGCGGCGGCCCCCTCGGCTTCTGAGCCCTGCCTGCTGCCCTGGGCCTCCGGGCTCCTCCCAGGTAATGGGCTCCTGCTCCTTCTCCGGCCCCGCGCTGGGGCAGGGAGGGGACACCGCTTTCTCTGCCCTCCTAGCTGCGAGTTTCCTGCTGGGAGGATGGGTGAGGCCGCCTCTGGCGAGCAGCGGGGCAGGTGCTTCTGCCTGAGCCAGCCCGAGCGAAGACTTGGGGAAACCCCGGGCCCCTCTGGCTGGCTGAGGCACCAATGGGCTTTGGCTGCCCCATGGAGCCCGGGGTGTGCCGCATGCTGCTTTCCGCCCTCGTTGCGTGGGGGTAAATAAGGTTTGCAAATTCGTCTTCTCACGGCGCTTCACGTGTCTCTACCCCCCCCCCCCCCACACACACCCCGTAGTTAGTTCTCCAGGAACTGGGGACCAGGAAATATAAGCGTCTGGTCTGTACTGGAATCGGTGGCAGTATTTGGAGGTGCGCTTCTCTCTGCGCACACCGCTGTCCCGCCAGAGTAGGGCCAATGGTGGATGAAATGTTAGGAAAAGATGCGTGTTACTGGGCAAGCTGATTGGGGGGACTAAAAAATCCTCCCCTGTTTGCATGACAATAGAGTGAAAGGCTTCAGAGCGGTAGCCCTGTTAGTCTGCAGCAGCAAAAGTAGCGAGGCGTCCTTGTGGCCCCTTAGAGACTAACAAATGTATTTGGGCATAAGCGTTCCTGGGTTAGATGAAGTGGTTCTAACCCACCAAAGCTTCTGCCCAAATACATTTGTTAGTCAAATAGAGTAAAAGTAGCAGCAGTTTTCAATAGGCAACAAAATGAGGGCAGGCTTGAACTTCAAGCCCTTGGGATTTCGTCAGAAAGCTCTCGCCCATTTCTAGTTAACAAAGCTTCTGTTAAATCATTAGAATAAGCCTCTCCCAGCTAAACTCTTGTAGGGGGCAACTAATCAAACATAGTGCGACAAGGCAGACTCAAGCTGAGACTATTTGAATGAGGGGAATTAAAATATATATGGGGGAGATTTTAAGCGTCGCATTGAAACACACACTGCAAAACCTTTTTCTCCCTAGGGAACAAGATTTAAAAACCTCTATTTAAAATTTATCGAAAAGGAGGGACTCAACTTTAAAAGTCTGGATCCAATATTTTTAAAGACTCCTAAAAGCTTAACATTTGGGGTATCTTATGTTTGCTTATAATTTGACATGTACACTGTTTACTATTTATAGTTTGTTTTTCTAAGGGGGAAATGTAACCATTAAAAATCTTAATTCGCTTTTGAATGTACCATACTCCATGTGGCGATAACTGTTTATATGTGCACGGGGTGAGGGAGGGTTGGTACATTTACAACTGGGGCTTCTCCCTTTAATATTCATGGACCTGCCAAGTGTGGAGAGGGGATGGGAATGGTTTGTTTAAATCCTGTGAACGGGGAAGCTTTCTGTCTTCAAGCTGTGCCTACTAAGTGCTTCTTCCCAGCTTCTCTGGTTGCTAGGGGCTTTTACTTCCTGATTCAAATTAGCCTTTAAAGTTCACATAACTACTTGAGACCAAGACCTTACAACAAAAAAGGAGATCAAGCTTCAGAGATTAAGGGGCAGATTGCATGGGCACTTCTTTCATTTAGTATATCTGTACATTTCCTACTTTATTTTATGGCCAAGACCCAGGTATCCAGGAATGGGCTATTTCTGATCCCACTGGCCCTAGCAAAATTTGACAGGACCAAGGAAACTTGTCATTGCTCTCATGGTAAGGGCAGTAGCTGTTTTAGGTTGGGGGTCCCTGAACTTTTTTAATGAATTGTTTACCACCTTTGTTTAATTTCCATCCCTCCCAGCATCCGTGGATAGTATATGAACCAAAAGGTAAGGAAAGCACAGCCCAGTGAACCCTAATTTGTCTATTTTGTAGTACATGAAGTACAACACATGCTACTTCCTCCCATGCTCATCTGCATCACATCCCACCATTGGCTGCCCTAGGTCACTCTTCCAACAATTTTAGAGAAAATTACGTTGGTGTAGATTTGACTGATTTAGGCTTGTCAGCTAAGGAAATTAAAAGACACTTGAGTGCCTCGCATTTATTACTTCAGTGATACTCCATGCATGAGTAAGGTGATCAAAGTTTGGCCCTTGGATAGCAGCAAACTATAGAAAAATATACATGTTGTATTATATCCGTAATATTATAGGAGTAGGTGGCACATGATAAGGAATGTATAAGTCTAAAGGCATTCAGTCTTTTTGATGTGAGTCTTTCCCTTGGTTGCATATATGGTCATGTGTCTTGGAATTCAGGAACTTAGTATTGCGAAGAGAAAAATGGCTGGATCTCTCTCCCTCCCCCCGAATAGTGCTTTGTTTGTTTTTTAAGTTTCTATTTTGCTTCAAGTTAAGTAAAAAAAGAAAGAGCAAGGCAAGTGCTGAAGCACCTGTCACTGTGTTTCAGTTAGAATTTTGTTTCTAGCAATAGTTAGTATAATGTTGTGCTTTAGAGGTGGGGTTATATTTGCTTTAAATGTATTCTTAAACTGGGTAGGATAACTCACATAGCCTTACAGTAGATCTGCTCTTCTAAGGTAGGTTTGATTATTTGAGTCAAATAAACAAAATTGTATGTAAGTTAAATTGGTCTTTTAAATAACTAAACAGAACATAAGTATCCCTTTTGTTGTTTAAAGTGAACTATTAACAGCTTTTTCCGAGCCCCATGATATAGCTTTGTTTCGTTAATATTCCTTGATTTTATTCCTAGGGAACCATGTCTCATTTTGTAGGGAATTCTGTGGGAGGAAAAATGGCTAACTGCTGGCTTTGTTTTCTTGACGCAGGCAGTGAAGTCTGGAGAGCTCAGTTCACACCGTAGATGTGAAAACAAGGCAAGAAGAGGTGCACTAGATGAAGGGCTGGGACAGCTGAGGAAGATGGTATTGTGGATCTGAGCTATAGTACCCTCTTCCCTCATACTTATGGCATTGGGGACATGACAACATTTCAGAATGGCTGTGGAAATGGCACCACTGTTACCTGTATAGTAATGGATAATAAAGAACCAAGAAGTATAACTAGCCATGGGGGATGCAATAGCGACACCAAAACTGAAGAGGAAATACAAGATGACAATCTCAGCCCTTCAAAAATCATGCGCTTTTTCTCTGCCCCTAGGAAACGAACTACCGCCAACTCCGAAAGGCCTCGTTCTCTGATTGTGATGGGCAGCTCTTCAACGTGGAATGCTTTGTCGTCCATTAGAAAAATGGGATCGTTCAAGAAATTAAAATCTTCAGTTCTTCAAGGAATTCAGGCCAGAGAAAGCTCAGATGTCTTAAATGAGAACACTGTGGGAAAACATGTCTCGAATGGTGGAGTGGTGAGAGTTCAGACTAACCGGTATTCTTATTCGGGGCCTTTACATGATTTCCATAATGCAGTGGATGGTTTGGCTTCTGATTGCTCTGATGTAGAGGAAAGTGATGATTCCTTCCTGAGGAACACTCACCGATCACGCAGTATCAGACGCGCCTATGGTGTTGGCCGCATCAATTTATTAGACACTGATAAAATTCAGAGTCAGCAGAACTGCACCAGGCCAACATCTCCCATCACCCAGGAGCCAAAGATCTGTGAAATTTTAGTGAAAGATCCTGAAAACAACAGGATTATCTACAGGAGAAGCAAAAGCACAGATAACTTAAACTTTTTGAAAAAGAGCTCATTCAAACGAAAGTCCACCTCAAATCTCACTGACCTCAAGATTGCAAGTGAAAAGCAAGTGCCACAAAGGACAGTAAGCACTTCCTTTGCTGACTCGGACAAAGCCAGTGGAAACCCAGAGAGACGGTCAAAACGCTGGAAGAGCCCTATCAGAGCAAAGGATTTTGACAGAGTTTTGAAACTTGTAAGCAATGTTACAGATGTTGCATGGAAAAAAGATGGTCCTAAGAGCACGACTCCTCCTCTGAACGAACAAAACCAGAGAACAAGGCCAAACAGCAGACTACATGATGACTATTCCCGCAGGGTTTCTAGTAGCAATGAAAATGACAGACGGAGGTGCATTTCCCCTGTGTGCAGTCCAGATTCTATCTTTTCTGGAACTCCGCATCTTCATAGTCCAACTGTTCCTCAGGATACAGACACTGAAACAAATGTATTTACTGGTGAAACTGACACCCTTAGGACATTATCATGCGTCCTAGATGATGTTAGTTCATCACACGCTTTTGACAACCTTAGTGCACTTCCTAATGAAGTGTTTTATGTAGACTCTGATGAACCAAAAAGTTCCAGTCAGTTTATGTGTGAATCTGAGCAGCCTAGCATTCCTCTTAGGCCCACTGCCCCTAAACCTCAGAGCCCCAGTGCTGAGAAGGTCAAGTGCAATATTAATTTCCATTGCCCAGATCGTCACAGCACGTTGTCACTGAGCTCAATGGAAAGTGAGGAAAGAGTTGAGTTACCTGCCCCGAAGTTGGGGAGAAATCCTGTTTGCTTCCAGGATTCAGTGCAAACTGGGTACTATGATGATGGAAATGAAGACAGTGGCATAAGCAGCCACTCTCAGCTGAGCCTCAATTTAGCTTCTGGTACTGAAGAAAAGAAGGAAGAGGTAAGAAGGAAAACAAACCCCACTATATGTTCGATGTTCATGTTGCAAGGTTTGTTTTATTAATGCAAAAATGACAACCTGAATGCTAGGAGCTGTTGCAGCTTGTTACTGCTAAAATATGCTGACAGCCAGCAAGCAATGATTTTTTTTTTAAAGGTTTGGAAGCTAACATCAAATTATTTTTCCCTGTGTACATTAATATTAAAGTGTTGGCAGCAAAGCTGTTCAAGTACATTTTCAAGGGCAGTTTATTATGGCCTGCAGTTATACCACCTTGTGATGTGATCATGTTGGATTTTTCCAAGCTAAGTCAGGACTGGCTGGGTCAGTTCTTGGCTGGGAGATTGCTGAAGAACACTTAAGTGGTGCTCCGTGCAGTCACATCGATTCAGTAGGTCGCACTCTTCCTTTGGACCAGAAAATGTTAATGTTTGTAGAGCACAATGGGGTGAAAGGCACAACGTAAATCAAACCTCCAGTTTGTTTTTACAGTGCATTACTGGCAATGATTGTTGGTAAATTAATAGATAACTACAGGTAAAATAATTGACTGCTTTTGAAATATGCCTCCAAATATTTCATTAATGTTTTTAAAATGATGGGTGGAGACTTAATATGTTGCTACTAACTATAATGGATTTCATTGCGCCTTGTTAAAAACTTACCACTGTCAATGGATGTGGCCAGTTATATTGCTGCATTTTTGAGTAAATGGGACACAGTTAAGGCCTTATGTACAGCGGGGGTTTTGCACTTGTGCAGCTACATTGATATGGCTGCATCAGTGCAGAACTCTAGTGTAAGACATCCTGCAACCTGTTTAAACTGTGACTTGCCTCATTTTCAAAGTACAACTGGCACAAGTCATGGTTTAGGCTGACACAGCACATCTGTGCTAAGGGTATACAACTACATTGGTTTAACTGCACCAGTGCGCCCAAAACAAAACATTGTACCTAACCTCTCTAGCTTTTATATCCCAGATGAAAAGTTTATAAAATCAGAAGACTGATATGTTCTGTTGCCTCCTATTTGTCAGAATGAACCTTATACTGTCTACAAAAATGTGGAGTGCCTTGCGTTAGTTCTTGTCAACTGCTGGAAATGGCCCACCTTGATTATCACTACAGAAGGTCCTCCCTCCCCACCCCCCTCCTGCTGGTAATAGATCACCTTACCTGATCACTCTCCTTACAGTGTGTATGGTAACACCCATTGTTTCATGTTCTCTGTGTATATAAATCTCCCCACTGTATTTTCCACTGAATGCATCCAATGAAGTGAGCTGTAGCTCACGAAAGCTTATGCTCAAATAAATTTGTTAGTCTCTAAGGTGCCACAAGTCCTCCTTTTCTTTTTGCATTAATTATAAATCACAAAAGTCTCAGCTAGTCAAATTATAGATTTGAGATGGGTGAGGATTTCTTATGTTAATGAGGCCTGATGCTTTTTTGCAAAAAAGTGACTGTAAATATTCATTACAAGCATCATCATTCTTCTGGACAAAGTAATACAATTAAAAATAGCTTAGATTACTGTTTCAGAGGAACAGCCGTGTTAGTCTGTATTCGCAAAAAGAAAAGGAGTACTTGTGGCACCTTAGAGACTAACCAATTTATTTGAGCATGAGCTTTCGTGAGCTACAGCTCACTTCATCTGAAGTGAGCTGTAGCTCACGAAAGCTCATGCTCAAATAAATTGGTTAGTCTGTAAGGTGCCACAAGTACTCCTTTTCTTTTTTTAGATTACTGTGATACTCAGAACTATGGTAAAATTGGGAAATGACATGTAATAATGTATATGCATCAGGGCAGTAGAAGAGTTTCTCATTAGAAGTTCTTGGGATGCCCAAACCAGTCCGCTTCATTCTGCAATTTTCACACCCAGCGTGTGTGTGTGTGCAGAGATGCTTTTTAACAGCCTGAAGACATGAGAATGCTAATGTATGTCAGTTGCAGTTCCTGGAAACTATATGTAGCAGTTAAATGACAGAATTAATGCTACCTAGCTGCCATCTAGTGGTGAACTATAACAATGACATCATCAAGCACTGAATCCAAACTCCTGCCTTCCCCTCTCAAAATAACTTTGCACTGCTGTAAAGATGTGGGTTTCAATGTGTGTGTACATCAGCCGTACAGGTTATTACTAAATTATATTTAATATTGCATTATGTCCTGTTTTCTGACACTTACCTAAAAATAACCAAATCTTGGTGTTAATATTGACTATGATTTTTACTCATGAGGTTGTAAAGTACTTCTGTGAGTTTTCTTTGCAGTTTATCTCCTCCTTCAGTTGTCTAAACTGAAATGCACACCCTGCACTAGTGGTAGTTGTGTATTTTGAGACATATCATCAGATGGTAATAGCCATGAGAGGCAGATGAAGAACCCAGGAAAATCTAATGGAGTTTCTGACTAATAGCCCTCTTAGCCTCAGAGCATCCATGCCCATGCCTGCACAAAAGAAATGTTTCTGTCTCTGTGAGAAGGATACAGGCATGGAGTGGGAGCTAATAATGCAAGGAGCAGTGTTAACTTGGTGGATAGCTGGATACAAATAATGAGTGGAACTTGCCCTCCAGGGTGAGTGGAAACTTTCTCTTCCCTTCTATTCCTATCTACTCCTCACTGCATCCAGAGCCATAAAATCATAGCCACTCCGAGGTTTGGTCTACACTACCAACTTATGTTGGTATAACTACATCACTCACGGTGTGGATTTTCTGCACTCCTGAGTGACATAGTTATACAGGCCTAACCTCTGGTGTAGACAATGCTATGTCAACGGGAGGGCTTCTGCTGTCGACATAGCTACTGCCTCTTGGGGACGAGGTTTGCTTACGCTGGCTGGAGAAGCTCTCTCATCAGCATAGATAGTGTGTCTTCACTAAGTGCTACAGTCAGTGTAGAAAGAAAAGGGAGTACTTGTGGCTCCTTAGAGACTAACAAATTTATCTGAGCATAAGCTTTCGTAAGCTACAGCTCACTTCATTGGAGGTGAGCTGTAGCTCACAAAAGCTTATGCTCAAATAAATTTGTTAGTCTCTAAGCTGCCACAAGTATTCCTTTTCTTTTTGCGAATACAGACTAACACGGCTGCTACTCTGAAACCAGTCAGTGTAGACAATCCCTGAGTTGCCATGGAAGAGAGAGCATGCTCTGCTTTCTTCCTCTTATTCCTTTGGAAGGCTTTGTTCCTCTTTCCTGTCCTCCACGTTTCCCAGCAGAGTGGAGCTATGGCATTAGCTTTGTGCCCAAGTTTACAGTCTTCTCAGATGTCAGAAATACTATAAATCTGTGCTTATTCAGCCAATAGGCTCTACCCTGAATGCCACGTGGCATCATGCTGGTTTGAACTTTTGACTAGGATTCCTTCTTGGCTTTGCTTTCTACCTGTCCATTACAGCATTGCATTCTCTCCCCCCCCCCCCCCCAAAAAAAATGCCCGTGTGGCAGTTTTAGAGCATTCAGAATAAGCTATCATTTAAGATGTAACTTTAGATAGCACAAGCACACAAATCTTAGGATGGAGTCCTAATGATAAATACAACACGCTGATGGGCAAGCCTCCAAAGGTTCAGAATTTCACTGTATCTTATCTGTACACTTATGCAATGCATCCCTTAGGATTCTGTGATCACAATTAAATATACAATATACATCATGCTGAACAGAGATGCGCCCAGGCAAAACCCACAGTGCCCCAGCAAATTTGGGGAAAGTTCATATTCAGATTCTAACTTCGTGATACAGGCCTATATCTAATATAGTCTAGTCTGAAACTTAGGTAGACTATCTAAGCATAATCGACCTGTTCCTTTGCCTCAGGCCCCAAGCTGTTCTTAGGTAAGTTAGTTTGAGATAAACCCCTGAAAGTTACCTAAATGCTTGTTACCTAAATGGTTTGGGTATACCTTTTAGGAAGGTCAAAACACCTCAACGGATAGTTTTACGTTGAGGAATTGCCTTGATATGGGGCAGAGGGAATGAGATACCTACTTGAATAATCTATTTGTCTTCTAACAGACAAATCTGCATCATCATACTTACTAGCACTATTGCTCATAGCTCTGCTACAGCCTTTTCTGGATCTGTTGTTCTTTCTCTTCCTTTTCCAGCATCTGATTGTTTCCTTCTCCCATAAGTTGGGTGACAAGGACATAGCGCACTTTTCCCAAATGTGTTTTTGCTTGCAGTGAGTTATGGGTGATCTAAGCCATGAGACTACAAGCTGTTCTGCAGAGGCAAACTCTTGCACCCGGGAGAAGCACCTTGAAGTCAAGTGTCAGCCTGTGCAGATCAGCATGAAGGATTGGGGCCCTACTCAGCTACTAAATTCAGGAAGCAGAAGGTTATGAGGCAATCTCTCTCTCTCTCTCTCTTGTTTTGGGTACTCCCTAGAGCATGTATCTGTGTCGATTTCACTACAGATGTCCACTGTGTTTCATGGATTGGTGGGCAGTAAGGGCTATCCTGCAAACCCCTACTCCTGGCAGTCCTTACCCAAGTACTTCCAACCAAGCTGAGGGGCAACTCATGTTTGGCTAATGTAGATCAACTATAGTACTAAAAAACAGAGTACTTATGTGAGCAAGGGTTTGCAGGATCTGTCCCTTAATGGAAGAGATTTCCTTGGTGTCTCTACATGTCCAATCTGAGCACCTTGTTTCTCTTAAACTCAGCTGACTCCTGTGTTCTTTTTAGCTTTCTCATTTTCAAAGGACTGGCAAAAGTTGTTTAAAGGTCAAATAGATTAGTGTTGGGATATTTCTATACTACAATGACACCATAGTATAGCTGCTTCTTGTATTGACTGAGGGGTTTTTCTGTCAATGTAGTTAATCCATCTCTTTGAGAGAGGGTAGTTAGGTTGACAGAAGAATTCTTCCATCAATTTAGCTCCTCTATAGCGGGGTTTCTGTTGACCTATGTTCACAGGGTGTGAAATTTTTCAGAGCCCTAAGTGTAGCTAGGTTGATCTCATTTTTAGGTGTA